CCTCTGTCTGTGGGCAGGAAAGGATGCAGGCAGACAGCAGCTCTGCAAGCAGTACCTTTACAGCTTGAGATATCTCATATAGACAGCTCCACCCTTTGCATTGCTGTGGTCTGGTACCTCTGTGCATAGGGCACAAGGGACAATACCTTTGTCACATGAATAGGACAGTGCTCACACTGTATGTGAATGTGTACAGACTCTGTGTGAGACACTCAGCAACCAGTGAGTTACATTATCACCCCTTCATCTCCATTCCTGGATGCTACATGAGAAAAGCTGGTTAAGAAGCAGCATCTGGGCCAGCTATGTCTTAGCAATCACCGATGATGTTGCTATCTCTCCCTGTGACCTGCTTCCACGGTGATGTTGGCTCTGTCTGGGAACTTTGCTTCTAAAGTATGAACCTTGAATTCACAGCACAGGTTACTGAACAAACATGTCTGGAGAAGCACTTTTCCACTGAGGCTGTCTGGGTCAATACAAAGAGAGCACCTTGTGGTAGGAACACCCATAGGAGAAGGAAACCTCAGCAGCTGGTGAAACACAGCAAAAAAGCATCATCTAAAGCACCTGGCGGTGTTCAAGGCCAGGCTGGACAGAGCCTTGGGCGACATAGTTTAGTGTGTGGTGTCCCTGCTCATGGCAGGGGGGTTGGAACTAGATGATCTTAAGGTCCTTTCCAACCCTAACTATTGTATGATTCTATGATTCTATAATAAGAAAGAAGAACCAAAGCCATTGCTCTGATGCAGCAGGATACTTCTCAGGAAAGGGCAGATTCTTACCTCTTCCTCTTCTAATGTCTGACACTCAGTGTAGCACAGCCCTTCTGGGAAAAACAGCTTCATATCCCGGACAGCTATTTGATAGGATTCAGAGCCTGAGAGATAAATACAATGAGAAGATTCTCTCAGGCCATGAATTAAACATTCTCTAGACTCACACTCATCTTTCGGAGAGACTGATGATGTGCAATGTACTGAAGTAATTGCTTTAAAGGCCAGCTGTTCTGTACAGTAATAGCAAACATTTTAAAACGCTATATTTAGGATAGTTTCATTGCCTTCTTGGTATTGTGATTCTGTCCTATTATCACTCAGCTGCTTCTTCATGTAAACAAGACTCCTATTTCCTAACAGAGTAGTCAAGGGAATCATGTTAAGGAGCTTGTGAACCTCTTCAATACCAGCTCCAATCCCCCATTTTTGTTCCCTTGCTTCTGGATCACGTCACGCTGGTCTTATTGAATGGGAAGGAGCTACTAGTTGATAAAACAAATGTGCCTTGTAACAATAATGCAAGTCCCAAATATGTTGGGGGCTCTGATTTACAACAGAAATCAGAATTAGTGTTAGACATTGCTGATGGAAATTGAGACTGGGACAGGTACACAGAGAAACAACATGAGGAGCATGCGAGGAATGGAGAAACATCTGAAGAGTTAAAACTAAAAGACCTTGGCTCATTTGACCCAACATGATACAAAGCTGAGAAGGAATCTGATTTCTGATAAACACATCAGGGTAGAAAAGGTCGGAGAAGAAAAAACAACTACGTAAAATTAAAGTACAGGTATTGGCACAAGAACAATTGGATACAAATTAGGTATGACTATATTTAAGTTTGAAAATATAAGAATTATAGCTATCAGAGCAGTGAAGTTCTGCCACAACCATGCTGTTGGGGTGGATGCTTATGAAAGGGAATATATGATGGGGTCGTCTGTGGAGGAATTAACTGAACTCAGTGACTTGAGAGGTCCCTCCAGGCTCAGCATCTGAATATCCCTATAAAGCAACAGAGTTATAAAGCACTATTCAGAATGCTTTGAGATTTGTGGGTGGAAAATGTTAGAGAAGGAAAAGCTATTTCTATATAACTGGAGTTCAGATAGATTGTCAATTGATGGCACAGATCCATTCTCCTGGGATACCAATACAAAAAAGGCAAATATCCTCTGAAATATTACCACCTTTGCAGGCTACCCCTTCAAAGAATCATGTCTTACTGCTCTTACAGCACTCAGCCCTGTCTGAACTTCATAATTCCAGCTATTATATAGCCAGAGTCTTTAACACAGTAGTCTGCAATCCTAAGATCGTCTAAGTCATCAGCACGTAAGTTGTGATGGATCCTTTATGTACCGTACCTCTGAGTCGAATCTTCCTTGTTTAAATAACTGATGCTATCACAGAGAACACAAATGCTCCCAAAGCTTGCAAAACTTTTACTCTCACTTTGCTCGAAGTATAAGACTGTATAAGATGCCTGTGCAAGAGATCTTCGGGTTCAAGAAAAAGCACTATACAATGACTTTGTAAGACCGAGAAGAGATGAGAGGAGTGTAGGTTTACCTCTGCAGCTGAGCCTCAGAGTATTAAAACTGCACTACTTGGATCAACAGTACCACTGCAACCTAGTCTTCATCTCCTCTGACTTTCACCAATCATTTTGGGAGGAAACATACAGCTGGAGTTTGCTCTCCTTCAGCAAGGTGGCATTAACTACAGACTTCCCTCAGCTGAAGCAAAACTGAGCAGGCTCAGTATTCCCTCCTAGGAGAAGATGGTCTTCCACAGCCCTCCCGAATGATTAGTCACACAGTGATTCAGCAATTCCTGCTTAACTTGTAGGCAAATGTTTCACCCAATTGGAGGACAAGCTCTTGGAGCTCCAAGGGGTTATGAATGCTTCCTTCATTATGGGCAGACACCTCCCTGGCACAGAGCTAGATCAGATCTTGAGCCAGTGAGTACACCAGTTACAGCTGCCTCCAGTCTCCTTGGATGTGTGCAAGGAGGGCTCTGTGAGCCAGGCACATTGCTGCCCTCAACACAAGCACAGGCTGGGCTAGAGGATGGGTGGTGGCCAGCTAAATGCAGCTCTGTGCTCCGCCCAGCCTTAGGAGTGAGCAAGAATCTGAAAGGAATCAATCCCTAAGCACACATCTGAGGGCTCCTCTAACACAGTGAGCTCTCCCAGTGAAAGACAGGGTGAGACTTGGCTTCTCTTGCTAATATAAAGTAATCTTTAGCTGAGCTATGCTAAAGATGCTCTAACAGTAGCATGGGTATCTTAAGTTTGGGGTATATATTAGTCATTATTAGCTGAGAGTGATGAGTTCTCATTCTCAAGGCAACCTGCATATGCAAGCCATTAAATTTAAGAGCAAAAGAAGCAGGGGCTGATAGTGAAAAAGTATTGGCTGAAGAGCCCTGACCATTCCTTTCGTGTAGGTAGATCCTGCTCTTCAGTCACTCGCATGAATGAGATCCTGTAAGTGGCGTGCGATCTCTCTTGGTTTTGTCTTGTTCCTAAGGATTATGACCATATCTGATTAAAAACCCCAAGGTTCTACCTCAAGGGGTTTATTCTCTCCCCTAGGCTGTACATATGGGCTACTTCATTCCCTATCAGTTCTTCTCACAAGATCACCTGATGTGGACAGAAAGAGTGATTTGACAGCACAGAATACAATAGAAAGAGCCAAATAATCCAATCTTGACAAAAAAGTTCTTCTGGAACATGAAGGCACACAGTGACTGCTAGCTCACACTAGAGAGTGTTTATAGAAACCATTGCTTTTATTATTTTTACATCCCTTTAACCACATACAGCACAATCAGCACCACACTGAGGAAAAACACTGTTCATGGGCAGTGAACTGATGATGCTTAATTCCCTATGAGTGTTTGAATTCTATCCTTCCCTCCCTGTGGCAGCAGCACAGCCCCGCTCCAGCAATACTCTTGGTTCTCTACAGGCTGCTCTTACTAGAAATACTTCCCATTTTCCCCTTCTTTACCCCCACTCCCAGCTATCTGCCATCCCACCTCCCACTGCAGCATCTTAGTTCCCTCCCTGCTGGCAGACGAGCTGGTTCAGCATCCAGGTGCTGACTAACTGGTGTGCCTCTGCTGATGTGGCAGCTAGCAGGAGCCTCTCTGAATGGAAAACAGCTGAGTTTACCTGCTTTCCTCAGGGAAAGACATTTTTAATCACCTCTCTCTATCCAGTCATTAATGTTTAGAGATGTTTCAGGAACTCAGCATCTTGGAGTCTTTTATCCCTCTGTGGAATCTGGTTGCAGTTGGCCAATGGGTTATGAAGTTACCACGAGGGTAACTTCCAAGCAGAGAGAAGACAGATGGATTCTTGGGGATAATTACAAAATAACCAAGCTAAAAGTACAAAATGACCAAGCAGTGAAGAGATCAAAGGAAATCTGTTCTGGTGGAAGGCAGAGCTAGGGCTGTTCTGGGAAGAAACCTTCTTTTAATATGTCTTGCTGGGTTATATTTCACAGCTTGAGACATACTCAGCTCAGCCACCAAGACAACAGTGAAAGCTTTCTAGGGGATAATAGTCTCTATCACCTGCCAAGGCTAGACCTGCATTGACAATACAGGAGGTGAAAGCACATAATCTATTTTTTCCATTGGCATATCTGAGCCTTTGGACTTTTCTTTTACAAAAACCTACCATAAAATCCATTTTGGACTGTGCTGATGCCATACTGAGCCCTCCAGAAGGACGGATCTAGTGCTTGGGCTACTTTAGGATCCTCTGGCCCCAGTAAATCTATCAGCTTCTTCACAGCATTTGGCCTCTGAAGACACAGCACGAGAGCAGTATCTGAGGTAAGGTAGGAACAGTGAGCTTCTAAAACAGCAGGATCCTGAAAAGAAATAACAGAGACAAAACAGGTCATGATGAACAGTGTTGGTGAGTGCTGGGTACATCCCAGCTTTCCTGACCTGCTTTCTCCTCTTCATAATATATGCGCTAGTGATCTCTGCAGGCATATCTTCCAGAGTACATACCACGGCCACTAAGCCAGCATTTGCTGTTACATTCACCAGGTAGTAGTAGGTCTAGCTCCCACCCTAAGTCCACACAGAGCTAAAGAAAAAGTTAATCACTAATCTTAAGCCATAGCAGCTTGTGGTTCTAGTCCCAGTGGTCCTAGATCAGCCAACAGTAGGTCTTATACATACAAACAACTTCAGCAGTAATTTCCTTAATGTTTTAGTAAGAAAGGAAACCAAATCCTATTCCTGGAAGCCTTGTGCTGTGCTTGTTCTGCATATCTGTACACGCCAGGTACATGTACAGAGGTGGAGTTCATTTTCAGGGGAAAAGGATGAAAACAAATTGCTACTCTGCAGTTTGCTCATCTACTACTGACTCTCTGATTTATGCAATAACCCTTTTCACTCAACCTTCAATATGACACAGGGACAGGGTGGAAGCAGTGGACTTCAGTGGTATCAACAGGGTCATAAATACTCTGGGATAAGGAGCCACATTTAATTTCTTAGCTGATATATAATGAAGGCTTGCAAATACCAGAACTTTTATTCTTGCATTCACACGAGGAAGGACCCCCTCCACCTCCCTCCAGGCACCCTGCTGCTAGAGGCCAGCTTCTCCCAAGGGCTGGTAGAATTCCATACACAGGTTAGGATCAGGACTACAGAACCAGTGAGCTTGAAATGAGGCAGCTCAGAGCAGGGCACTAGATGGGGGCTGAGAGAAACAGTTCCCCTCCTGGTTTTGCCACTGATGCGTTGTGGTCCGTGACTCATTTCTCTACCTTCGCTTCTTTTCCAAGTGTGGTTGGTCAGCCTGTGACCGCTCCTGAGCAGAGACGTTCCTCTTGATGCTGTGCAGGTCACAACCACCTGAGATCTTTATTTTAACTAAGGACAGGTAATAAGGATAACTAGCAATCACTGCACCAGTGAGAAAAGTCTGACTTGGAGGCTGAAGATGGACATAATGATTGAGAAGCACAGGGAAAGGCAGCAAGTGCCTAGGGCAGAGGCTACCAAGAGGCAGCAGAGCAGAGCACTTGCAGCCTTGCTGACTGCTTTAATTAAGTAAACCCTTAGAAAGCCAGACTTGTTGCAGGTATTTCTGCGGAGCATGAGGTCAGGGTGCCCACAGCAGCTCCAGGCTGCCTCCTCCTGCCCCTTCATCTTGACAGAGTCACAGGAGAATCAAGCTCTGCCTCCCTGCACACCACAGAGAAGTCCCACAGCAGCACTATGTCCCCTGTGCAGCTTATACACAGCAGCAGTTTCATTTCAGCTCTCTGCCTGAACCAGCCCATGGTTATTTACTTTTTTCCCAATTTTTGAGGACATGAAAACAAGGAGGGGGGAAACATCATTTGATTCAGCTGAAACACATCATTCATTCCCCTAAGGGGTTTAATTCCTCTATTTTTTAATCTTCTATTCTCTATATAAAACATTTCCAAAAGTAAATCCTATCATTTCATTTAAAATATGGAGACAAACTACTTCAAGGCCTCTTTTGCTTTTCTATCACATGAAACCATTCACTGTCTTTGACCCAAATCTTTTCTCACTCGCATTCCTCCTCAGCTGCATTTCCAAGAAGTAGGCTATGAGTTCAAAAGCACAGGCTCGATCCAGATATTCTCCTCTGTATTTGAAGATGCAAAATGATCCATGAGAAAGCCCCTCTGGTTTTAAATGGGTTAGTTAGGTAAGGGGTTTGATATTCGTCCATCCTCCCACTCCATGAAAAAACAGGGCAAAGGAAACCCAGGGATGTCAGCTACAGCACAGGACTGCGCAGGGAAATTTTAGCTCAGGCTCTCCTCTGATAGGAGAGCTCCATTTAGATGAGGATGAAGAGTTTCAGCTGGTTATAGTATACTGCAACATGCTGACATTCATTCAGTTCTGTATAATACAAAATTAACCCTTTTTGCTTAAAATTTTTTGTTAGTTTAAAAGAATATGTATATAATCCATTTTTCTAAGGGCCTTCTCTTTGAGAGATAAAAAACAGTGAGGATGACTTCATGTAAAGTTTCAAAAGGACTGGGTATAACATATCAACTTTCATCCACATCAGAAACATCTGCAGAAGAAAATGTTTCAGAGGTGCTTTCTGTTAAACAGACCAAAACAAGCGAAGTTATTTTGTTCCAGAGCTTCTAAACACTTTTTTTAGATCTACATAGAATCATAGAATAGTTAGGGTTGGAAAGGACCTTAAGATCATCTAGTTCCAACCCCTCTGCCATGAGCAGGGACACCACACACTAAACTATGTCGCCCAAGGCTCTGTCCAGCCTGGCCTTGAACACCTCCAGGGTTGGAGCATTCACAACTTCCTTGGGCAACCTATTCCAGTGCCTCACCACCCTCACTGTAAAGAACTTCTTCCTTATATCTAACCTAAAGTTCCCCTGTTTAAGTTTAAACCCATTACCCCTTGTCCTACCACTACAGTCCCTAATGAAGAGTCCCTCCCCAGCACCCTTGTACATGACAAAACCCTTCTGTTTCCTGTCTTTCAGTTGTTCCCCAGCAAATATGCAGACTTTGGGTTAAAGATGATGTTTTCTCTGATTGCTACTGGTGGTGTCAGTGAGTCACGGTGACTTCTCCCCTTCTGAGAGATCCTCACATCCGCTCTAGACTCTGCCAGCCAAATGCTGCTCTTATTTACATCCTGCCTCTGCACAATCTTTGCCTGTGTCCCCTCTGACACCTGAGCAGCTGTGATGAGATATGCAGCTGACTTGAATTCAGTGAGTGGTGTTGTTGCTGCACACAGAGGAATTTCCAGCTGTGCACTGGCTCTGGAGGACTAACAGGATTAAAAAACAACAAAATTATCCTTCGGCCTTTACTGTTAGAATCACAGTATAGGACAGGAGGGAATCAACAAGCTACTGAGTCCAGCAACCTGCTACCACAGGCAATCATATCAGGTGATGCCCAACAGGATGATCAGGTCCCACTGTAAAATCAAGCTTTCTAGCTGGCAGCCAGAACTGCGTATTGGTGCTGGGCTGGAGCTGCTGAAAGGAGATCCAGCCTCCATGGGCAGAAATCCCCTCAGGAGTGGTTGCTTCTCACAGTCAGAACATGACCAGGTCCTGCTAAGAGTTGAGGAGACAATGTCAGCTATATTTACTGACCTTTATTTTTGTAAATTATTCTTCAACTTCAGGTAAAAAGTATGATCGCGGCTCCTGTGATTAGACACGTCAGCAAACAGCAGACCAGTCCATTATTTATTGTATGCCGAAGGCCACACGCTACTTAGAAGCTGAATGTTAGTATGTAAGTTGCAAAAGCAATAATGTGTCTGAAAGCATGTTGCTGAGGATATTTGTCAATGTGCATGTAAATAATCCATTAGAAAGAGAAGGAGATTCTAGGTAGTTTTTCTATGAGCGAATATACCCCAAATCTGTGATTAAGTACTGTGTATACAAAACAAGCTGGCACATTGTGGAACACACAGGAGTTCTCTAGAGATTCTTGGAGATGGATTTTGGATCAGGCTCCAGGTGAGGAAGAGGTAAAAAGCCCTTCTAGAAGGGTTGAGCACACTAGCTCCATGTTCTTCAACAGGAGATGCTAAATTTCAGCAATTTGCCCCCATATTAAGAACCTCATTTTAAAATCAGCCCTGTATCCTGTTGTCCCCTAAACTGAGAAAGAGATTGACAATGATTATCCCTCCAATTCAAATGCTTTATGTGAAATTCAGCTAGGAGAAATATATCTGCCCCCATAAGCTGCCCTTGTAACACTTAGAAGCCAGATTTTGCAAATAGCACAGGCCCTGAAGCATGCTTTGGCTTTTTGCAAACCTATCTACTTATCTTGGGAGCTCACCTGTTCCAGCCCTCATGAGTGAAAGACTTTCAGATGTGTTCTGAGAAGGAGCCCCCACACAGCAGGAAGCATTTCCTACTGCCCATTCCTCCTGGCCAAAGGCAGTTGATGACCTCTGCTATCTCACTTTGAAAACCTGCCTTTCTGCTCCCCAACCCCCATGAACAAAACCCCAACAGTCTGTAATTTTTAAGCTCATTAGTCACCAGCTCTTCCAGGAAACTAAATCAATGCTCAGCAGCTGCTCCAGTGTGTTAGAGAGCTCGGAAAACAAAAGAAAATGTTGATGAAACCACCTCTCTTTAACTTTACCCAGCACACATCAGCATTTTACTTCCTGAGGTAGACATTTGGATTTTTTTAAAGTGTCTTGTTTCATATGATCAACTAAGCATTTTTGTATTTAGCTGTATAAAAGCCATATTGAAAGCACTCCTCCAGCAACTCTTCAGAGAATGCAAGACTGGTTTGTGTTGGAAGAGACCTTAAAGCTCATCCAGTTCCAACCCCCTGCCACAGGCAGGGACACCTCCCACGAGAGCAGTTTGCTCTAAGCCCCTGTGCCCACCCGGGCCTTGAACACTGCCAGGGATGGGGCAGCCACAGCTTCCCTGGGCAACCTGTGCCAGCGCCTCAGCACCCTCACAGGGAAGAACTTCTGCCTAAGAGCTCATCTCAATCTCCCCTCTGGCAGGTTAAAGTCATTCCCCCTTGGCCTGTCCCTACAGGCCCTTGTTCAAAGCCCCTCTCCAGGTTTCCTGTAGCCCCTTTAGGCACTGGGAGCTGCTCTAAGGTCTCCCCTTAAGAAGCCTTCTCTTCTCCAGGCTGAACCAGCCCAGCTCTCTCAGCCTGTCTCCAGAGCAGAGCTGCTCCAGCCCTCGCAGCATCTCAGTGGCCTCCTCTGGACTTGCCCAAACAGCTCCACGTCCCTCTTGTGTTGTTGCCCCAGAGCTGGATCAGGGCTGCAGGGGGGGTCTCCCCAGAGTGCAGCAGAGGGGGAGAATCCCCTCCCTGAACTGCTGCTCACACTCTGGGGATGCAGCCCAGCACACGGGGGGTTCTGGGCTCAAGCGCTCACTGAAGCCAGGTCATGGGGAGCTGCTCATCGACCAACACCCCCAAGTCCTTCTCCTCCAGGCACTTGGCCTGGTTGGACTTCAGGAGGTTCACACCGTGCCACCTCTCCAGCATGTCTTACCAGTGGCCCGTAAATATTTTAAAATCAGGTGCTTGTGCTCCATGGCTTTGCTATCATGCAGAAAGTGGTAACTGTTCCAATTGATGGTTATGTTAGAGCACTATCCTGGCATGCTCCTGTCTTCTTCTGGAAGACTAATAAGACTTTCTATGACAGAATGCTATAAACTCTCCCAATGTAACCCCAGAACAATATTGATTAGAAAGGGTTGCTTTCTGCAAAAGTTAATTGGTTAAACGCCTTCATGAAAGCAATCAAATAACAAGGATTAAAAAAACATAAAAAATATAAAAAAAAAATCTAACTCCTCTGAATGCCCAGATTTCAGTTTCCTGCCTTTCATATCTTTACACTCATATCAGGATATTGTTGTTTGGGAAAGAAATCATTTCTGAAGGTGTTAAAGAGCAGAAACATGCACCTGTTTTTAGCTAACAAAAGCCTGTAATGCCCCAAGATTTAAGGACCCTCTTTATTGTCTATTAGACACTAGAAATGACAGTAACTCGATTTTCCCACTTTGCAGGTCATTTTTACAGGCTCTTGAACACATGCTCCTAGAAGAGAGATTCAGCTGTATGTGTAAGACGTGTAATACATATAATCTAAGGGAATGGGGCTCCAGAGGTACATATTCTCTGGCAGTGCAGTGGATATTTCCCAACTCCCAGGTTTAAACACATGGAAGGAAAGCCAGGCCCATGTGCAAGGGAGTTGGCTGGTCCTTTAAATGCGGCCTACCTGAAATGACCTTAAGGAAGGAAAAGAGGACACCTGTTTCACAGTTAGAGAGTCAGCATTGCAACTTGGCAACTCCACTGACTCCTGGGAGGTCTGTATTACCCAGATCCTCCAAACTTTTGTTCTAGAGAAACCAGGTCTGCTGCTTTATGGCATGCAATAACAGAAACAGTCAGCACATCAGCTTGCTTTGTGTCTGACACCGCTACAGAGCTGACTGTTCTATATAGCTCACTTCAACAGCTCAGAAATCCCGGATGGGAGATTTCGGGTTTTTTCAGGAACGGATTATTCACTAGCTAGCATATTTCCCCACTCCAAACCTAAATATAGGCACAGATCGACCAGTTTCTTAACAAACCTGTTTCACTTCAGAAGAAAGGAGTCCTGAGGCAATGCCTGGTTTCAGGTTTATGTGTTTCATGCCAACCACAGTGAATTTTTCTATGTGTAGTTTTCGGAGGATCCTTGCAAGTCTGCGACTCCAGGCACCGGGTTTGATCAGCAGCACTGTGCAAAGAATCTGGGCTCCTGTAACAAAGCACAGAGTGAAACGCAAAGCCGCTCCTAAAACCCGAGGTAAAACACAGGGCACGGTTTACTAGCCTGGACAGACATCAGTAGAAGAGATTTATCTAAAAGCTGGCATCAAGTTCATAAAAATTTGAACAACATAAGTCATAACACCCTCCACCCCAATCAATGCATATAGGGGTTTGTTTGATTTTTAGTTTAAAAATATATCCAAACAACATTGGCTTTTACACTGTTTTTCCCCAGGAAGTCTGCTCTGAGCCCAAGAAGTTTACATGGCGAGTCTGTAGGATAAGACTCAATTCTTTATATTAATATGAAAATTTTAAGAGGGATAAAATATTCCCTTTTACATTTTTCATGTCAACTGTAGTGATTATATAATATAATCCTTAAGGCAGCTATTAAATTCTCATTCCTCACAGTTTTGCTTTTGCTATCTCTGTTAGAGCTTTGTTTCAGAGAGGCACTAACAAGCATGACAGGTCCCAATTAATGTTATAAACCTATTACAAATAGAATTGTGTTTAGTAAAATTGAGATTTCAGTGAAACCTCTTTTGCTCCTCACAAAGCTGCCCTAGCAGAGCTGCCACCGAGATGCAGCTCTGTGCTGTGAGAAACAGAACAAACCAGGCCAAGAGAGTTTTGCTGTCTGACGATACCAACTGCATTAAAAGGCAGAAAATACAGAAAATTAATTTTTAAATGGCAGCATTTTCAAACTACTAGTTTTGCTAAAGTACCTTATAACTAGGAATATAGTTAAGATTCCCAACATCCTAATATTGAAGATAATAAATCTTCAAACATCCTCTGAAGATTTATTGACAACAGTAGTGTCAGAACCAGTCAGTTAGGGCCCATTAACTGCTGGTGCCTAACCATGTCAATTAGCATGAAGCATGAGGTTACAGTACTGCAGGCTGCTCACACTCATCCATGGTTAGCTGTTTGTATACATAAAGTGTCATTTTATGCTTCCTGTATCCCCAATACTAATTATAAAGATGCAATGCAATGAAGCATCAATAACACTACGTATAATTTAATGCATACTGTTATTTCCAAATGGCATGGTACTGATTCATGACAGAAATATGGGATCAAAACTAAAAAATTGTATTACTGCTCCCCCACTTGATATGGAAACTTAACCCTTATCATGCAGGGAGCCCTCCTCTTAAAGATCTGCCATTTTATTCACATCGTTCTTGAACAGAAAGGTTTAAATGCCATAGCAACAGCCTGCAAGTGCAGGAGTAAGGCAAGCCACTCAGATCCATTCAGCTGCTTGCACACTAAACAGCAATCTCAGCTGTGTTCTGTTACATGAGTCCTCATTGTCCTCCAGATGTTTTACTTGCCATCAGCTATGATTCTGGGCAAAACATTCGTGTGGTATGTGAATCATTACACACTGTGCATTTATCGACTTCAGGCACTTCAGGAGGGATTTGTTTTGCATCACTTTGCCATCTTGGTTTGGTCAAAGACAGGTGTTGAAAACCTTGTCACCTGGAATTGGTTTTATCTCCTTGGTGACTATAAGTGACAACAGCAAGAGAAAAAGAAAATACTCCTTTAGCAGCCCTCAGACATGCCTGATTTTAATCTCCAGCCCTGGCTGCTTAGTGGCCTTTCCAGCTTTGCCCAAGCTGCCTGCTCTTTGTTATGTTTTTCTGCTTTATTATGCTTTTAGATCCCTTTCTCACAGCAAATGATTCCTCCCCCCCCCCCCCCGAAAAAATGACATAGGTTTTGATTTCATAGTGTAACTGTGAAAAATACTATTTCATATGCTATCTATATGCAATACTCTACATATGTGTGGAGCTTAAAATAAATGTAAACTCAAGAGAAGCAAATACCAGATTTTCAGGCATGTTCAGAAAAGAGTGTATATTCCTGCCTGCACTCAAGCCTAAGGAAGAAGTTGGTATAATGCTTTTTACTTATTTTTGGTTGGCACATCTAGATGAGTTAGTTCCACAAAGCCCTTCCCAAACTACATTTTCCCCTTTGCTCTTCTCTCACCTGTTTGCAAGTAGGTGAACAGCGATTCTGTGTGGCATCTCTGCCTCTCTCCTACTAAATGAGAAAAGCAGAGAGACTTGAGTAAGCGGTACACATGTGCTGGGACAATAACTTGAGAATGTAGCCATCATCCCTACATAATGCAGCTATGACACACTTATTCTAAAGCATTATAATGGGACACTCATGGCTTGATTTCAGCTGTTGGGATGTACTGGGATGTCCTGGGTGGTGATGTTCTTCACACTTCTCCGTAAGTCCAAGCCTTCTCTTGTGCCCTTGGAAGCAAAGAAAGGCTCTGTCTTCTGACTACACCCCTACTGAGCTCAGAACTGTGGTTCAGTCCTCTCCTTAGCTCTGCTGATAAAACCTCACTGACATCTCCCAGCAGCCAGGAATGGTTGCCTCAGTGGTTCTTTGTAAGAGCAGAGCAGTATAAAGGGAGCCTGGTGAGTCAGAACTTACGACAAAAGCCTATCTAAAAATGTTTCCTTCAGTCTAACGCAAAACCTTCAGTGACTTGGGGAGGTGAGGAAAATTTAAGGCACTTCAAGGCACATGTGATTCGAGAACTTATCTAGGACTGGGGTACAATGAGAAGCTTGCATCAGACATAAAGGACTTCCTTTCCAGGGACTGACACACTTAAGCAGTGTGACATGCAAGGTAGATAAGAGAAAACTGAAATCCGTTTGTCAAAACAAAATTACCATTCCTTTGTACTTATTACTGTCTGAAATCCCTGTATTTCTATTTCTTAGGGCAATGTATCTGGAAGGTATCTAGGCAAAGTGTTCTTTTCCTTTTTAATGAGACCTTTTTCTCTTTCCACATGTCTGTCATTTATTTTGCTGGAATAATAAGAGTACATAGAGAAGGTGTAGCCAGCTCCAAGGTCCTTCCATCATAACTTTTTAGCTCACATCCTCAAAGTAGCAATTTTTTTTCTTTAGTATTGAAAGAACTTGTAGGACCCATGAATTCTGTGGTGACTTGGGTGGCACTGTAATGCAAATGCCAAAGTCCCTTGCGTGAGACTAAGGAAATGGCATTCTGCTCCCATTTCCATCACTCACTTTTTAGGGAATGGTGGTCAACATATTTCACCTCTTGGTCTCAAATACCCCTCTGGAAAACATCCTGAAACTGATCTTTTTTGAGATCTACATCTGAAAAGGACTACTAAAGAGTAGCCATTAGTTGCTCTTCTAACCTACATTCCCTACCAGCCCTTGATAGGTCACATCCAGGCACACACAGAACTTCATACAAGAAAGGTGATTTGGCAACACTACCACCTTCCCCTGTACCAAGTGGACCTCTCTGGCCTTTGTTTCCTAATTGCCTGGGATTCTGATGTCTAGCCAAAGGTTTACTAATCCCATTTTAATGACTCTGACAGAGGACACGGAGTTATAGTTTTCTTCAATCTAAGAGTATAAAACTGTTTGGTTTTATCCAAGAGGCAACTGGTGCATAACCTCTGGTCTTACCTTCAGCCCTGGGCCTCTTGCCAGGTGGTGGCAGGTATTTCATAGCAGGGCGGTGTTCTGCATCTGTAAAAGGAGGGAGATGTATTGTTATGGATTCACAGATGGAGACCTTCTCTGTTTGGGACCATGAAGGGTGACAAAGGTGATTTTATTTAGCAGGGAAAATAGTAGACATTTGACCAGCTGCAAAATATTGCAGAGCTGTTCTCCACATAAACACCTCTCCATTCCTCCCACAATAAAAACAGGAGCAAACATGTAATGCCCTTGTAATAGAGATAGTGCAGGATGCTAGAGTCATTCTTCAGCTGTGCTCCTTTGCTCTTGACAATGGCTTTGGTGGGAAAGGCTGGCACCATGATTACAACCTTCCCCAATAAACTCATAGTTGTGCTTTCATCTTATCCTGTCTTTTGGTCTCAAGATAACTTTAATGAAGGGCAGGAAT